TCTGAGGGAGGCCGGAGGCCATGTTGTGAGGCAACCCACGTGCTGACGAACAGAGAACCCTGCCAAGAACTATGTGAATGAGCCTGGTTTTCAGCCCTTCCCCAGTCGAGCCTCCAAAGAACTACAGCTCCAGCTGCCACACTGACTGCAGCCTCAGCAGACGCCCCGAGCAGAGCCACCCACCCCAGCCCCCCTGGAATTGCAGACCTACAGAAATTGTGAGGTAATGAAGGTTGTTTTAGATGCTAAATGTTCAGGTAATTTGTTACACAGCAATAGTCAACATGGTATTTAAGAGACAAGCAGCAGAGATGGTAAGAGTCTATAGGCTCGAGGGACCAAAGTCTAAAACACAAATCCATCATCGGTTTTTTAAAAAAAAAAAAAAAAACTCACTGTTCTACCTAGGCAACTTGTTTTACAATGGAATTTAGTTGTCTTTCACAATTGGAATACAGTTGTCCTTCTTCACAAAACACTATATTCTTTTCTCTCAGACTCACCATCTTTAAAGAGCTGAGGTGTTAATTAGTGGAAACATCTGCTTGGAACCTTTAAGGGGTGGGGGAGCAATACTCCTCAAGCCCCTGCAAACTGCTGTCCCTTCATCTTTTCCCACATCCCTACATCTTAGTAATGAGGACCAGCACACCCCCTGAGCAGAAGTGAAAGTGCAGACATTCAAGGGGAGAGCACCCCCAAGGTCGTGAGGCCCACGCTGTGGCTCCAACTGCTTCTCGCCAGATTCCTCGTTGCTTCCTCCTAGCAGCACATCTGTCCTTTCTTCCCCTCTCTCTTCCATGCGTTACATGCAGGCACCACGGAGTGCAAAGACAGGAGCCCTGGTAAAGCAGTGGGTGAGCACTCGGCTGCTAAAGGGAAGGTTGGTGGTTCAAACCCACCAGCCATTCCATGGAAGAAAGATGAGGCCGCCTGCTTCTGTAAAAAGCCTCCAAAACCCCACGGGGCAGTTCTACTCCATCCTATAGGGTTACTATGAGTTGGAATCCACTTGAAGGGAACTGTCTTGGCTTTATTTTTTATAAGAAGAGAGGAAGACTATGATTCTCTCTCCCCCCCACCTCCCCCTAGAAAGACAGACAGACAGACACACACACACAAGGCATGGGTTTATAATGTCTGACAGAACGGCTGCGATATGCTGAGACACTGGAACATAACACTTTACAAATTTGATCATACACCCCAACAACAAAAAGCTTTGGAACACCGAAATATGCACACGTACATGTGTGTGCACTGCACGTTCACTGCCACGCGTCGGCAGAGAAGGGCACACGGCCCCACTGGTCATTACAGGGACACCAGAGTCAAAAATCACTGAGCACAATATTGGCACTTACAGGGCAGGATGTTCTTGTAACGATTTTTGTTCTTATTTTCTTGCCTCTGACCCTCTTTTCGGCTGTAGAGAAGTTTGCACTCCTGTTGCTGTAGTGTCTAGAGAGAGACAACAGTCAGTGTCATCATGTGGCAAAGGCGGGAAACGAAAAGGTGAAAAGCCCAGCTCAGCATTGCTGCTGTAAGGAACTCCTCCCAGGAGACGGTTGGAGCCGGACGCAGCCGTCACCAGGGTGTTCGTGTCCACGCAGTAGACAACGCAAGTCCATCAGGGGCAACATAACGTCCAACAGGAAAGGGCTGTCCATCGAACACTGTCACTCGCACCCACAAGGAGCACTATGCAGATGCTTTACAGATGTCCTGGGAGAATATGGACTGTTGTGCAAAGATGGTCAAGTGAAGGAAAAAAAAAACAAACCAAACTCACTGCCGTCGAGTCGGATCCGACTCATAGCGACCCCTCCTTGGGTTTCCAAGGTGGTACCACTACGGAAGTAGACTGCCCAACCTTCCTTCCGAGGAGTGGCTGGTGGGTTTGAACTGCAAGCTTTCTGGTGAGCAGTCAAATGCCTTAGACACTACGCCACCAGAGCTCCCAAATGAAGGAAAATGGGGGTCAAATTTCTGAAATAGTGTAAGACGTAAGGCACGTACTGGCTCTGATCTGTGTATGTAGAAACAGCAGAAGGGTGGATGCCAAAGAATGAGCGTGGTTATTTTTTCAGGGCAGTGAGGTGGTAGACTTTTTCCTTCTCTTTACTACATGTTTTATTTTTCTATATTTTCTACAAGAAATGAGTATTTATCAGGAAAAATAACAAGCAACCATTATTAAGAATGTCAGTCAACGAATATTGGTGTAGAATGTATAAATGAAGCCATGATCCACATTTCTGAGGAGTTCACAATCTGCTTACTTTTACCATCGATTAATTCGGAGCAAACCAAAGCCAGCTCTCCCCTTTGGACATTAGAGGACAGGAGAGGTGTTTTTGGTGCCACTGGATCATGGGATCCAGGTGACCTTTGTCAGCAAGGCTTTCGAATCCTAGGCCAGAAACCCACGTCAGTGCCATAGAAGGAGATTCATGTCCGAGTTGCTGCCTGCACCACTCACTGCCCCCCTGTTCCCTCCCTGGCAACACCTGGCCGGATTCATCACGTCCAAGGAGGACAGAAGACAGAGAGCGCAGAAGAGAACACCAGCGGCTCCTCCAGCAAGTGGTTAGGAGAACACGTCAGCAGGAAGAGAGGGAAAGAGATGGGGAGCGAGATCCAGGGAAGGAGGGAGGCTTGACCGGACAGCCACGGGCAGCCTAGCCTCACAGGAAGACACCGCCTCTCCAAGGGGTCCTTAGTCTCCAACAGGCCTGACTTTTATGTCGGATCAATAACGGGGCAGGCACTACAAATGGGCAAATCAAGTAAGTGGAAAGGTCAGCTAAAAAGAAAAACAAATACACACACAGAGAGATGAATACATACACACAAAAGGCAAAACAGCTACCCTCAGAGATGACAAGGAGAGACCCAATCAATATTTCACACAGCATCGCAGCCCTGTTCCATTTCCATGTCATTAATCTGAATTTCACAGACAGGCACAGAAGTCAGGATTTTAAATTGGTATTTGACTCTCAGTTTCAAAACACAATGTTTGGCCCTGGCACAGAGCTCCTGACCGAAGTGTTCAGCTAGCCAAAACCTGGACCGGTTTTGTATTTTGTAATATGCTTTATGTAGCACTTTGAGGATGAGGCGGTTGAATTAAAGAATGATTTCCAATTTGGCTGTCAGAGCCGTGTGCCCACTCAGTGAGGCCCTTTCCCGCACCAAGAGCCAGCAGCACCCAGCAACAGTGCTGGATCAGGAAGAAGATCTTGAGACAGGTCACTGCAGGGAGGGTCAAGATGAAGCTGCAACACTAAGAACTGAGTCATTCACTTAAAAATCAGCCACGTGACTCGAAACAACAATAAAGATTTCCACGGAGTTTGTTTGGCTTTGGTTTGGTTTTGGCTAGGAAATCATTAGCTTTTGGTTTAAAACAAACTTGGCTGCGGCAGAGCCTTCAAACCCTCACTGGTGAAGCAAACTTGACATGAGGCTTCCCTTGTGATGGGCACGTGCCAGTGCAATTGCCATAAAAGGAAAATCCAATCCTGTCAGATATTCCCACTTAACTGCCCTTCCAGGTACCCCATCTTCAAGATCAAGTTCAAGCTTTTCAGACCACATAGGAGCTAAGAGGGACTGCCTCAGGGGCCTGCCTCCACCTATAGCCCCTGCGCTTGCCTGCAGGCCTGAACAGAGCAGCACCGAGACATTCCGGGTGAAGCTCACCCTGCTCTTGATTACCTATGGCCTTGGCCAAGTCACTTAACCTGCCCGTGCCTCAGCTGCCTCAAGTGTAAAAGGGGGACAATGGCAATAGCTACCTCACAGGCAGCTGTAAGGAGTACATGGGACGGAGGTAAAGCACGCTGCGATGCCTGGGATGCAGGCTTTGCATGCAGCAGGTGCCGGTGTTTGCTGTAAGGCTCTAATTGTTACATGAGATCTGTGCCCGGGCTGCTCCAAGCATGGCCTGCAGAGCAGGAGCATCCCTTGGGAGCCGGTGAGAAACTCAGAGGTGCAGGTGCTGCCCCAGATCTATTCAGTCAGAATCCGCAGGTAGCAAGACCCCCAAGAGACTCCAGCGCACACCGAAGGCCGCCACAGGCTCCTTACTGCAGCCACACGAAAACCATCCCAGGGCTTGATTTCCCCACTTTCCTCCACCCTACCTGCTAGTCCCCCTGCCCAGAATTCCCTTGAACAGCCCTGCACATCTAGTGCCTAGTAAGTTTTATTGAGTCTTTAGACCAATGTCAAATACTTCCTTGGTGTTCCCTGACCCACTCAGCAGCGTGGAGCAGTACTGAGCACACTGTCCCCAGTCCCTTCCTCTACAGGTACGTTTGACGAAGGAACCCCAGAGTTCCAGGCCAGGAAGTCCTCTGTGACCAAGGCATTCACCTGAACCATTCTCCCAGCTCTGCCAGAGGCTTCCTTTCTCCTGCATTAGCTCCCTGGTCGCCTCTTGCATATGGGTTTGAGGCTCGAGCAGTCAGCCCACAGTCAAGACAGGCCTATGGGCCTGAGAGCTTCCACAAAGGACAGGCCCAGAGCTTTCCAGAGCCGTGTCCCAGGCACAGTTGGGCGCCACCTGCCGGGGGCTGGCAGCCATCTTGGACTACAATGCCTAACAGTGCTTCTCTCCTCTCGGTTCCTTCCTTAGCGCCCACTGGCCCAGCCTCATCAACACCTGGAGCCCAAGTTGCCTGAACACATTTCATTTCACACAGTTGGAAGGCTGTCGTCCTCCTAGAGTCGATGAAAATAAAAAGAATCCAGAAGGGGTGACTTGCCACGCTCCACCCACAGAAGCTCCCCCACTGCCCCCTGAGATCATCAGCTACCATTTGCTGAGGGATGTTTCCCACCCAGCACCAGGCTGACAGCTCAAAGAGATGCAAGAATAGCCAGCCAACCCTGTCCTGGAGGGAGCTATAATCCCGAGCGGTGACCCTCCCACCTCCCTACCAGCAGGCCCTAGGACACAAAAAACAGTTAATGACCCATCAGGCTGATGTCCCTGTGTCTCCAGCCCACTCTCCACTGGGCCTGGGCAGCAACGGGATGACACAGAGCTGGGGCAGAAGCTACAAGATGCCCGGTTTTCCCAAGTAATGAAACCAAGGGGTTTGCATCAAGCTCTGAGCCCTCAAAAAGGAGAAGGGGCATCCAAGAAAGGAGGGGCAGCGGGAAACTCTGGTCACCAGAAGGTCTCAAGTGATCAACAAGCACTGGCAAAATGCCACGAGGGATTAAACCAACACAGCTATGGTCCCCTCCCAGGTGCTTACTGTAAACTGTTGGCATCAAACTAGTAAACCTTAAAGAGCATCAAGAGATAAAGTTAACCTTCTGGTCGATGTTGTACATTCAGTAGTGTCTCAGGGCACTGCCAACACCGTGGAGGGGATAACCTTTCATTGTGCAGAACCATCCCTTACACTTAGGGCCATTTAACATCCCTGCTCCCAGCCTAAGACCCTGCCAGTCTAAATGCTGAGTCACTGTGATCCATTAACAGAACAGACCCTCCAAGTTTCTAAGGCCTCTGACTGAAAACCGCCAGGCCTGGCTCTTGACAGGTTCGTGAGTGAAAGCAGAGGCACAGGACCAAGGACAGAGGCTGGCGGTGCACAAAGCCACAGGGCCAGGATCCCCAGGCACCTCCGCCACGACCCAGCAGCCATTTCCCAGCACCGCCCTGAGCACAGGGCCAAGTGGGGAGAACACCAGTGACCAGGAAGGCCAGACCAAGCTGCGTGATGATTTTACTTTTAAATATAAAGCTACAGGGGTGGATACATTGAGGGGTACACAGTAGAGGGGATGGAGATGGGGCAGAGTAGCTAGCAGAAAGTTCGCGGATGGGCTCCAGCTGGGCGCTGGGAAACGGGGGCTTCAGTGTACTACTTCCTCACTTTGGGGGCTGTTTGGAAATGCAAAATAAAAAAGTTTAAAAAGAAATTAATAACAAAAATGTAAAAGCTCCTCCCACTCCATCCCACCCCACTCATGGCTGTGGCCTCCTGAAGAAGAGGGAGGGAGCTGAGAGGCTGTCGGGCAGATGGCCACGCTGTTTTCGATGCCGTGAAGACGACAGCAGTAAGCGCCTGGGCAGACTCTCAAACCCAGTCTCTGGTGGGTCTGGACGGACTTCTGTCTGCCTCTGGCGTCTTCTGCTCTGTGGAGAAGCACTGTAGTTTCTCGCTCGGTTTTCCTCCTGCAGTCGTCACAATGGGACCCAGCACCACAGACGCGGGACAGCACCCACTTCCTGATGTCACCGTGTCTCTGCCGTTGACGTGGGCAGTTCTGCCTGAGCGAGTCCATCCAGACATGAAGGGACAGCTGGAGACACCACCAGCTGGTGATGTCAGCTGCCACTGAGTCGCCCCCGTACGATCCCCACAAACAACAGGATCAGACCGCTGGGCTCCAGAGGGCTTTCACGGGCTGCTTTTCAGAATTAGAGCATCAGG